AAAAAAAAAAAAAAAAAAAAAAATGACAGAAGATGAAAGAAGCGTTGAGAATTGTGAATCTTAATTGCCGAAATAAAAGTAAAGGAACACTAAGATTACACTTAGAATTTATATTAAAATAGTTTTAGATTTATTTAATAAACGATTTCTAGGATCTTCGTCGATATACATTTACACGCGACTCAGCACTCTCTGTGTCTCACCATATTCTATACCAAACTACCAACGGAACAGTTACATTCATGTTTTTTGAGACGCCACGCACACACATACTTCCGCACACTCATATTCACATACGTGTGTCACTACTACGCGGCCAATCTAGTCTAGCGCACAAAATTATACATATCTCAATAAGAAAAATGACGATAATAAAAAGATGAGAGAAAAAACGGGGAAAATAAGAAGAGACAAATGAGAAAAGAAAGAAAGAGGAAGAAAAAGAAGTTTATTCCGTAATACTATCGTTCGTATACGATTACACAGCGTCATGGAGTAATCGTTAAATAGATGTATCATTGGTTGAACGCCTCGATTTCACTCGGATCATATAAAATCAATGAGATGCGATGAATTAATAGCGCGTTCAATAAATCGTTGACTATTAATGGCGTTGATCGCGTTAAAAGTGAACGTTCTGGCGCCAATTCTCTAGCGATCATTCATCGATCCGTACACGGTGTTACGTGTGTGGAAAATAAGTTGAAAAATCGAACTTTTTGTTATCGAACGTGACATGTATGTAAATGAGTTCGTGAAATTTCGAAACTGTCTCATAACTCTTAGGTACGGAAAACGTACCTATCACTGATAGTATCTATGCTATAAATTATCAATGGTCTAACGCGACTCGTCAATTACGAGATGTACTCGATGTACTCGTAAAAAACTATCTATTAGGTAAACTTTGCCCTCGCGCGTTACTAAACCGACTGCAGTGCGTTTTACGAGGATGTAAACTATTGAACGATGGTTAGATGATGTATTTCTATGCATATGTAAAATGTTAGTATTGCAAAATTGTGTAGATTGCATAAAGTGTAATATAGTTTCTATTCAAAATTTATTGTTATAAATCGAAGATAATGGACATATTCAGACAAAATTACTCGATTACTTGGTTATTCTTATTATATTGTTATAATAAGAAATTAAGCAGACAACATGACTGTGAAATATATTACACGTAACTGTATTACTAATTTGCTTATATAAGTACAATATTAATATTTACCGATGGAACTAAATTAAAACTAATTTTCGTTGATACTGCAGAACTTTCCCATACTTGTTACAGTATCTGAAGGATGAAGCACGTATCTTTCTATTTATATCTCGTTCTTTTAATCGCGTTTAGAAACACAAATTTACATAAGCATCCGCAGTTTAATGATCTTCTATGGTTTCAACAATCGTTAAATAAGAGATTATTATCAACTTACACGCTAGCTGTTTGCTCGAACACGTTGCACTTCGTGAGATCTTTCGACCAGATCTCAATGAGAGGGAAAGAGATGGTCGTTTCAAAATTCGTTGCATGCTTTGAAATCGCGTTCACGGTCGAGGCTGACTCCGAAGTTGGAAGGTGAAAGTACATTTCACCGTTTGACCTATGAATGAACGCGGAAGATCGCGTTCTTCCGTTCATTCGTGTCACCACCCACGATCAAGTTGCATTACCCGTTTCGTGTACTTGGCAATATCGTTATCGGACCGTGAAAGTCACGCTGGAACTGTCGAATTTCCGGTAGCACCGTTCAATGGACACTGTATGATATAGAGGAACTTTAATATAGATCGAAACGTTTTTCCCGATTTCATTTTTCCTTTTCTCGTCCGCCTGGTTTACCAACCATGCTAAACGATCACGGAAGACCTGACGATAGTCGTCGTACATTATACGCTGTATGAACTGGGATATTCGATAGGCAATAACGTATCCATTGATTATAGGAATATTGGAAAATTTACTCGACACGCAACTTGATACGCTAGAACTTCTTTTACCGTAATAAAATCTTAGCTCAATTAACTCATTGAGAATCAACGTTATGTCAATGCAACATTTCACTTGCAATCGAGGAGGTTTTTGGAAAACGTGTTTATGAGATAAAATAGTGAATTGTGTACAGGTAAATTGGAAATTTTGTTGAAATGTTGTTTATAATATCGTTTTATTATTTGTAATGACCTGTCCTTTTTATACTCACAAAATAAATAAAAATTGTATAATACGTAGTTTGACTAGAAAATACATTCTTATCGATATACATATTTATCACAGATTTATAGATCCTTTTACAGAAATAATTCTACTGAATTTTTTTTAATTTCGATTATTAAATCTACCTTCATAAAAAATAACGAAGGATAGTATTTGTATGATACGTGTTCTCGTTAGTATTTCTTCTTGCCAAAGAGATTAAAGGATTTATGAGATAATCTACTTCTTTTATTTATAAAATATA